TATCAAAATACTGCAAAAAAAAAAGTTTACATACAGGCCAGTGAACAGTCGACATGGTTGCATGAGTTTCTAATAGTAAAGTTATTTTTCTTCTCTCCATCACAATTTGTTCCACATATAATTGAGTTATGATTTTTTTTACTAATTCCTTCAAAATACAATTCATATAATAAGCGATGATTGACAAATGGCAATGGCAAAAAGAGAGTAGGGGTCCATTTGATTAAAGATGAATGACTGAACAACCCAAATGCTGATGTATTTATCTTCTCATTTGTCATTCAGTCATTTGTGCTGACGGTTCTTGTTACCTGTTGAGTATTTATGAAACCACTTTTCATTGTTTATTAAAATCTGAGGAAGTAATCAGTATCTTAACATACTATACCATATGCTGTTCTGACAAATGCTCCAGGATCGAGCATAATGGCAAGAAAATAAACTTGAACACACATAGCTTTAGTTAGGATACTGTTAAATGGCTAATAATTAACCTTTGACCCTGACAATAGTCTTACATTTCCACTTACATTACACACATAATGCTTATCCACATCAAAGCCAACAGGTAGAAATACGCCCTAACACACATTGAGAAATGAAAGGCTGCAATCAACATCTGCCTGCCTTTAATGATGTGGGAGAATAAACATGTAAGTAGTGAAGCGGTCAGCAAAAACCAGCTCTGCTCTCAAAACGGCTCAGATGCTTATTGGCTCTCCATGTTAGCATGCAAGCATCTGTGGCCTTGTCTGTGGCCTCAGGGCGAGGCAGCTGTGATTAACATTTAAAACAGCCCTGGTACCCCCGACACCCCAACCCCACCCGACCAGGATGTATTCTGAAATACCAGCCGGCTCACCTCCGATATGATGATATGATCACGGTGGGAAATTATCAAGCAACCTTTCAATACTTGCTTTTTACAAAATATCTCACTCCAAGATTGTTCTGTATTTTGTTTAGATTTTTTATTTTTTTTTAAAGTAAAAGTGGGCTGATAAGGACCTTTAATAGCAATAAAATATGACCTTTTGAGTGCATGATGTATTTTGTTGATAAATGAATCATATTTTAATAGGAGGGTGTTATAGATTTTTGTTTCTTCATTCTGTTTTATTAGTTGTGAAAACAGTCGAACACAATGAGATAAAGAAATTGGAACTGGGCACAACTTTAGCTGCAAAATGTTGGATTGACCAACCAACTATTCAACCGTAAATGCCTTGTGTATTGCTATGTGGCAATGTTCTTCACAACACCAAGAAATGAAGCACAATAGACAAGACCTAAAATATCTACGTTTGCTCCCTGTATGACAGTTTACAAATCATATCACCTGCCTCTGAAGCACTGTGATGTACAGGATGTATGGTGTACACTACGCCACATCCCCTCAGGGCATTTGGGATGGTTGACTCCAAGTAGCTATTAGTTTCTATGTTCTTTCCCTGTGGAACAAGCTTTTTGAAGACATGATGTCTTTCAACAGCCGGCTCGCTTAAATCAACGTGTTTATTGCAAAATTGCAGCAACTTATTTTCAGATTTGGAGTCAAAGTTTTGCGTCTTGTTTTTAATGCACATTTGGTGTTTTGTAAATGTAATTCCTCTCTATTAGTCTTTTAAATGTCTTTTAAATGTTTTCTTAATGGCCTGTCGAAATGTTATTTTCTAAAAGTATCTGTAAGTCTGTGAAACACTTGAACACTGAATAGTCTTGTGACTAAAATGTGCTGTAACTCACCTTGGCTTGAATACATTCTCTATTTCTAACAAACAAACAATTACAGATTGAATGAGCAGTGTTTGAACACAGAACTCCAAATGAAGGTGAAGTCGATACCTGCCCGCCTATCAGGAGACCTTCCCACCTGATAAATGAAGAAATGTCGACTTATGTTGAAAATATGAACAAGCCTATTGAGCTATTTTAAGATTAAATCACACATTATTTTCTCATGATTTTCACAGGTTAATTTTGAATTATATAAAAATGTGTTTTATGCAGGTTAATATGTCTATTAAACAAGATGTACTGCCCCTAATGTGGATTATAATATTGTCATGAGGAAAAATCAACTTAGCAAAATGAATGTAGCTCATAGCACTGTGTTAACAGACAGGCTGATTTCAGCATCATTTTAAATCAGGCACAATGTCATTCTTTGCCTGAGTAGACTCATGAGATAAGAAAACACTGTGGATATCCAGTAACCCCTTTGTTAAACATGTTACTGTAAATACTGGGCAGAGAGATCACCTGAACCAGCACCTTGCTGCGCTGCTTTCTGCTTTGCAAAGAGAAACACTGTCACAAGTGGTTAGCATGTGGCTTAATGCTGTCTTTATAACTCCTTCAAACACAGCTTCTGACTCTCATTTAGAGTTGTATTCTGTCCTTTTATAACAGCACCACAACATACACGCACTTAAACACAAAGTCTCAGTTTTTGCCTCTAAATGATATCATTTTAGTTTGAATGGAAGGCGTCTATGAATAAAAAAAGATGCAATTAAAAAATTAAACTAGCTCAATATGAACATACACATAACATGACATATTCTGAATCATTAGACATTAAAACATTTTTTGGCCATGAGATAATCAAGTATAAGTTGGAACTTTGTCAGCGAGCTTTAGCTTCACTGAACGGTGATGAGTTCCCACTAAACTATTTATGTGAGTGGGAATACTTACGCTGAGCCACAGAACTGCAGAACTGTCTGTGTGGCAATACAATGCTTAACACTCCGTCACAAAACACTTACAGCCTATAGCAGCGAAGTGCCACATTCATCAGCTATCTGCCAGAACATTTACACACCCGCCATCAAACGCTGTGAGAGGCAGAGGACAGAGGGGAGGAGAGAGATGGGGAGGGATGAGGTGGTTAAGGTGGATCTAGAGATACATCTGTATTATGGTTCAATGACGAGAAACCATCTAGGCTTCCATAAGACAGGCTTTGTGAAAGGCAGTCCCATACATACACCATTTAAAAAGTTTTACAGTAAAATTATAAAGAATTAAATAACACATGACATTTGAATGTTGCTCTTCTCCAAAGTTGTCTTAAATCTTGGTTTATAATCTGTAACCACATAGAACTGGAGAGCAGAGAGCGAAGCCTTTTCAGTACACTGTAAATCCTGAAAATCTCATGTGCTTGCAATAATACATCAGTTACTGTTACAACATGGATTAATAAGTAAGTTGGATCTTCTAGAGACCATGTTTTCTGATGAGATAACTTGTGACTGATTTAAATAGTGCCCACTATAAACACTATGATACATGCATTGGATTGTTGTTTTCAGTTTGTCTATTTGTATTGTATCTGTCCCTATAAAAAATAACATAAATAAAGCATAAATTAAATGTGTTTATGTGGTACCCTATTTCCTTTATTGTGGCCTAACTGTACCTCCTCCATTCTTCTCTTTTGGTTAAGTTACAGCAACCGTGAGTGGCAGCTATGTTGGAGCTGTTGTTGCTGCATCATCCATCTAGCTCCCTGACGTTGTCACCAACTCTCTGTCACCGTGCTTGTTCTGTGAAAACAGACATTTGTCACTGTCCTGTGCCTCTGTGCTGTAATGTCATCAGCACCAGCTACTTGGCAAGACACACACACACACACACACACACACACACACACGCTTGTATCAACCGAGGGGGACAAACACAAGGATCACCAACATGCACATTAAAGACACAGGTTCTGCCATCAATTACAATGCTCACTTTTAACATAGTATCATTGTATGAGCCTCTTAATTATCTCAAAAACTAAGCAGTAAAATCTGCTGAAAATTCTCAGGACTACAGCCATGGACACGAGGAACAAGGATCCTTGAAAGATTCTTGTCACCTGTCACAGATTTTCAAAATAAAATATCAAATATGACTAAAATATAATCAGCAGACTTTACCTTTAATGTAAAAAACAATACTTACTGGAAGTTCTTTATAAATGAAAACAATTAAATTGTATGTTGTTTTTTTTCTCTGTGTTTATTTTTGTTGGGGGGGGGGGGCTTTTCTTAAATACAAGTGGACTCAAAGTAAAATGGTAGTAACTCACTGCGTTGGATAGTATCAGATGAGTTCTGAGTACTTGACTATGAGAGATTACCTGCTCATTTTAGGCGTAAATTAGTTTTTTAAAAACCCTTCAAAGCAAATATAGGATCTGAATTCATATCAAAGTTCAAATTAATAACACATGCACCGTGATCAATCAGTCAATCAATGAATCAATCAATCTTTATTTGTATAGCGTCAACTCATAACAAGTGTTATCTCGAGACACTTTACAAAAAGCAGGTAAAAGACCTTACTTAATGCTATTACAAAGACCCGGCTTAATCCAGCATGAACACTTTAGCAAAGCAGCAAAAGTTACATTGTTAAGAAAAAACTACCTTATGAAATCTTCAGGCAGGATCCCAGGCTCATGACGAAACAGCCTTCACAGACCTAGACTGCGCCGGGCTTGACTAAACTAACGCTGGAATTGGCTGATAATTTAGCATTTTCTTACCACCCAGTCTTCTCCAGCTTCACCCTCTCTTTCAAGTATTGTCACTTATGGCTCTGTAAAACCAACCATGCAGCAGGACTCCAAACACTGGTCCTCAGGTCTGACTGTTGTTACTGTGGCTACACTCACTATGAGCCACTATGACATTCTTCAGTCCTAAACTTTGTCAATGATCAGGCTGTTGTTAAATTTGAACCAATTAAATAGTCAGTCATAGGTGTTTCAAAATTCAGAACCAGCTAGGGAGAATATATTTTGTTTTGTGAAATATATTTCATGATGACAGTTGTGCAGTTTATAGTTTTCGTCTTATTTACAACATAGATATTTACAATACTGAAGAGACCATTTACTATGTTTGACAGTATTAACCAATAAAAAAACACAAAGCCACAGTTTTTCAATATCATTTCATTCATGTAGTTATCTTTCAACAAATGAAAAAAAGCTTACGCATATTTTCATGGCATGTATTTAAAGAATGTAGAAGTTGCTGTCAGTACTAGATATATTTAAGCACACTTTATTGCAATGCTCATAATACAGAGTACTCTGGTACAGCCATGAAAATGACTGTTATCTAAAAGCTATGAGCTGGTGAGGAATTTTATTAACTTACAAGTGAAAGTACAACAAGTAATAATAAAACTTAAAATAAAAAGAGTATGTCCTTCAAACATGCATAAATAACCCAGTTTCACACAATAGATGATTTTATTCTAATATACAAAAGATTAGAAATATATCTTTTAAAGTTTTATTTCTCTCAAATATGAATTCTGCAAACACATGCACACACATTTTTTTCCAAGCTGCTGTGTCTGTGTCCGCAGACTTCCAACACTGGAGTTCACCCAAAATCTTTATCCTGACAGACATGGGGTTGTTTTTGTTCCAGTGTGTGTTACCAGACTGACAATCATGTTTGCAACTTCAGCAGTGTAATCTTTCAAATAGTTTATCTATAGTGGCTTGCAGCTAGTGGTCTTCATTCTTAATCTTGCCTACAGAGCTTAGTCTGATAGTTTCTTTAATATCAAGCTCATTTAGTCTGGTCTCATTCGCTTTTTGAGATGTTGGCAATCACTTAAGTGACTTCAATATTATAACTTTCTAAAACAACTAGAACGTAAAAAATAAAGGTTACGTTACAAGAAAGCAATCCTTTTTCTTTAAAAAATTATTTGCAGTGAAAGCTTGTCTGATGGTTAATAATGGCATATTTTTTTAGGTCTTATGCATGTTTGTGCACCATTCCAAACAACTTGACAAGTTACTCATCAATAAATTTCTGAGATCTCCATATTAAATACTTATACACACTCCTAACTAGAAAGTTGAGCACAGTGGGTAAGAGATGATGGAAGTCAGTCTACAAAACAAGTTGGTCAATTATTTCTTTGACTGACTTTTAGAAAAATAAATAAAAATGATGCTGTGAATCCAAAACCATTACTATTGTGAACACTGTGCTATTGATATAGATAGGAACAATGAACAAACCAATGAAAATAAGACCCAAGTTTAAAATAACTGGAACTGTACTTAAATGGCTCAAACACAAATAACTGAAAAGTGGTAAATACTAGAACTGTAATGCATATTCAGCAAAGTTTTCAACATGTGCAACAAATCCAGCTTTAGTGAGTCCAGGGGCCAGATGTATAAGTAATACAGACACAAATAAAGCATGGTATGCCTTTCTATTTAAAAAGTAAATAATGCAATAAGAATGTGACCCTGGGTACACAAGTTTAAAGGAAATGTGATGAGAAGATAAAATAGGTCATGACAGTAGCCTCTGAGTAAAATAATGATTATGTTGTGTCCCTATATCTCTGATTGTTATTAATTTGGGGTAATTGTTCCTTAAAATGTCTCTCAAAAGTGCAAATAGATTATGTAAGTGATAAAGACTTCAACTTTTTGTGTACATTCAAGACATTATTTCCCTGTGTTGATAAACTTTAATCTCATCACAACAGTTCTTTTAGTTCTTTTCCAATTTCACAGATTTTTTTTTAACCTGACTTTTCAAAATATGTCTATGATCTATGAGTCATTATTGAATTTAGACATTGTTGTTATATACATTCAAGCCATTATTTCCCTGTATATAATAATATATCCACCTTTTAATTATATCTTGAAATGTGAAGCACTGACAAAAGACTCTTGAGAGTGAACACATATCCATATTCTTAAATACAGCCAGGTGTACAAGCTAGATGGAGGGGCAAATTCAGATGGACAGGACAGTCACTAATGGCACCAGTAACTTCTTAAACGACTGATACTTGCCTTGTCTTAATATTCAGTTTAAATAATATTGCACCAATAATCTATAACAACCATGCTCATAGAAATTGCAGCTCAGTTCAATTTGCTTTTGTTATGGATCTGATTGTGGAGACATTTTCAGCAGCTTGACTCTCTGCTGTGAGAGCTGCTCTCTGAGACAGAGCTCCAATTCATTCAAAAAAAAGAATTATAACTCACAAGACACTAATATTTCACAATACCTGACGTTATGTTCATTAAACACAAAAATATTTGATATTCATTCACGCTTTTCAAGGAACCCCTATTTTTCAAGACAATGCCGCCTAGCGATTGGATGACTGCAAAAAAGTCTTAATGACGAATAGGTAAAAAAATGTTTTTTTGAGTTGCCTAAGCTGTAATGGCTCCACATAATTTTGTGGGAACAAATGCAGCCATGTCCACTTAAAAGTGCTTATTTTTGCCGCTGAAATTTCCCAAAAAGAAGACATAGCAGCCAATGTCACGATGGTCAGCTGAATGAATCAACTGGAGACATTTTGAACCTATAGGTTATTTAGCCCTAAAAACTATTCTAAATAGGGCCCAAATTTTATAAACATGTCTCTTTTAAACTAAAGGTTATTTGACAGAAATTTGTATTTGAGTGAAATACCCTTTAAAACTATATTGAGAAACACAGTTTTATTCATTAATCACTTTAGGAAAATGTATATTGATTGAATAAACCTTAGAATTATTTGGGTGAAATGTTCCCTAAAAATCATAAGCTGGTGGACAGAGAGTTGCCTCACTGCACATTTGGCTCATTGCACTAGGGGGCACTCTCACACAAAGAAAAGCTCTTGGAGTTGCAGTCCTGTAGTCTTTGTTACAGCAGTAACAAAGTTAGGAGGGATGGGCTATGTGATAATTACAACTAAGAAATTGCTCCTTCCTCTTCTGTTGTGTTTTTTGAAATGTAAATGTGATTTGTGAAATGTGTGCTGTCATGAAGAAGACACTTCTGTGCAAAGCACATCAGATCTGAGATGTTGTGAAATGTCTAGTTTTTGTGTAATGTTTTCCTTTTTGGAAATGTTATTGTGTTTTATGAAATATCATTGTTTTAACACTTTAGGGCCACTTCAGGACATCTCTATTTTCCAGTTTAATGTTGTACCCAGACTTAACACATCTAATACAAGTTTCCAATGTTAAATGCAGCAAGTCTGTGAGATACTTATGAGTATGTGTTCATGTGGCAGGCCCTGTCTCTAGTTAGCTCCAGACCAACTGAACTCTGATTGTAATAGTAGTAATGTCAACATATCAAATTCAGACGGTGGTTAGGGAGAATGGATCATGATCACAAGAGATTATGAGCCCCTGACACCCTTTCTGGATACTGTGCTGCAGTTAACACTTACCTGCTAAGAAAGAAAACATTTTGAAACATTTTACTCAAACTGCCTGTGGCTTCTTTTTCTGGCATTTGTGAATTTGGACATGTTTGGCATTGAGCTCCATTCGCATAAATGTTGGCTGCACAATCCATTTGTGAATTCAACCCAGTGTTTTATGCATCTGGCCCCAGGTGAGGTGATTTTTGGTTAATGTATACATTTTGAAAGTGTAGAATGGAGAATGTAATGAATGGTTTTGAAGTCTCAGTGAGAACTTGGAGCCCGGTTAAGGTACAGAAGAAGAGCTGTCAAACTCCACGCCACCATAGCCGTTCATCTTCTTCAGCTTCAGCTGGTCCACATGGATTAGGCCCTGGGACTCCAGAACTGCTTCCTTCTTAGAAAACATGCGGCTAATTTCCATAAAGGTCTTGTTTTTTGTTTCTGGGATGAAAAAGTAGACGTAGATGGCCACAGAGAAACAAATGGCCGAAAACACCAAGTAGCAGTAAGACCCCACAGACATCTGTTGGTCGGATGTGGCAGATGGATGGAGATTCATGGGGGAATTGAGAGAGGATAGAAAAACAAGAATAATGAAGGGGTTGACATTTGACTAAGAACTCACATCAGTGGGCAAACAGGCATTACAGGTGATCAATGATTGTAAATCCTAAGTTTTTTTTTATGAGAGCAGAGGGGGCTCAAAACACAGACCAAAGCTAAGGGAAAGTTTTAGGAATTCATGCTTTGATTGGTGAATAGCAACAGGCGGACATGATGTAGCAGAAGGATACAATAAACATTCATATTGTAATCATACTTTGGAAAAGCTTTCAGAAAGCTCTCAATTTCCAGCTTCACACTTTACAGTCACAATCTCCGACTTTCCTAAACTTGATGTGGCGGTGCCTAGAAATCATGCATCATAACTAACTTCATTTTCAGCTAGGAATTCAAATGTTTCATTTCATATTGTGTGATACAAACTGTATTGTTAGCTAGGAAGTGGTTAAATGCTAAGCTAAGCTATTGTCCAGGAATAGCTTACGGGTTATGAAATATGTTTTATATTATTTCAACTTGAAATATGGCCTATGTGAGACTGTGTTAGTTCAAGTAGGCTGGAGTTCAGAACTGGACTCAATAAATGTAACTCATGAAAGAGATTTTAAACTATTACTTGATCTTTCAAGCTGCTTTGCAATCATTCATGAATCACGAAAGAGGGATTTGTTAGTCATTTTATAGGAACATTACAGGTCCCAAAATGTAACAGCCTCCATTTGCAGCTTTCAAAAATGTAAGTGAACAAGAATGAGGATTAGAACATATCGAAGTGGGAGGTCAGTCATCAGATGGGTTAGTTCTAATCACATTAAATTCTTCTTAGTTAAAAGAAGCTTGAGTGTAGCCAGTGGTATTAGTATTCAGGACTGAGAAGAGCTAGCACAGCGCAACACAGCATGTAGCTTTCTTTAGCATTAAGCTGTCACCTGTAAGAAGGGGAAGACGAAGCCCACGGTGAAGTTGGACACCCAGTTTAGCAATCCTCCTACAATGTAAGCAGCTGGGCGGTGGGACTGTTTAAACAGCTCTGCTGTCATCAAGAAGGGAACCCCAGCTGGAACAGGAGAGAAGAAAAGTATTCAAACATCAATAACAATCAGTCTGGCACCCTTGATTCAATCTAATACTGGAATAACTTTGGTGACATTTTTATTGAAAGATCACAACAAAAAAGGTTAATTTTTTACAGAAACACACTAGAGATTGCTTTAAATTCCAGTAATTACCTATGACAAATAAAGTGATCTTAATGTTTCAAATCAGTGACGTGTATTTGTAAAGGGACAAGTATGTGGCTAGTAAACTGATGCCTCACACTACAGTACAGCATTTATAGCCTAAGCTAGTTAGCAATGTGCTAAAGTGCCACGTCACTTCAATAAGCTGCTGATCATGTTTGACATAATGTGTTTGTCTTTAATAACTTTACCATTCATACTCAACTACAACGTAGCTGGTGTCAAGTTCTGATGTCTCTTTTAAAAACACAATTGTACTTAATTGTGGAATATTTTAATTATTATTTGAAGTGACCCAAGTACTTAAACAACTGTTTTGATAAGAATAAGAATCAACTTGGAGCCATGTGGAAATTGAAAAATGATTTTTCACTTGGAACAGTGAACATGTCTTTTTTCATACAATTGAGGTGTGGGTAATTTTTCTTAAAATATATGTGGGCCAGCATGTAACATATTTGTGTATGCAAACTATAATTTATGGTCGTGATTTTATGATTCATGTCCACAGATAAACTTGCACAGCAAACAGGCAAATAAAAGGCTAATTAGAGTGAAACAGCATCAGCCTGTGGGGTACTGGTCAGGCCAGCATATAGATGAGAGTCATATATCAAATACTGTATACCACTAATATTTCATTATAATATTCTACCAAAGAAACTGCGTTATTTATCTATCTTACAGGGGGGCATTGAACAGAGATATTTTGCATCATACATAATTGCAGAAAAAATAAATAAAATATGCATATTTATCACTAAATGTAACTCGATTTAGAAAACAGTGTTGGCTTAAAATTAGGGAAACAATTTACATGTATTGTGTACAACACAACTATGGCTTCTATCAATTGTGTAATATATAATGTAATGATTAATTGATTTTAAAAAACTGCAATTTATAACATAACATGACATGATAGAGCAGCTTCAACACATTTTGAACCTTTCTTTCCCTCTGTTAAGTTTTTACAGTATGGCCTCTAGAGGGAGCCATTTAATAACACAAAGCAACCTCTTACTGTTTCAAGTACTGTTTGACACATCGAATGTGGATAGGTCTATAGGCCAAGGCAGGAAAAGGCAAACTTTGTTTTAAAAGTCAGTTGGATTTAAAAAATACGACTTCAATAAGATCAGATGACATTAGACACATACATGTTGCCTCACTTCCCTCAAGTTCAATGTTCACAAATCAGGACTGGACACGGGGAGCCCCTGCCCTGCATATGCTTACACAGTATTAGTTGAAGTCGTGCAAAGCATTAAAAGAGGTTTCACTAACACGTGGTTTTGGTGTTGCATAGCTAGGTCTTTTTCACAAGGGTTGAATAAGAAAATGTGTTTCGATTTTATGGCATTTTTAGTTCTTTAAATGACACAGAAGAAAAACTAACCTGGACCAATACAGAAACCAGCAATGATGCCGACCACACAGGCGACACTTAAGTAGTGCATAAATGGTAAATGACCCTGCAGGGAGAAGAAACAGGACAACACAAGACAGTCAGTTTGATAACTTTGGTTTTCTGTAATCGAGAACTTACTGTAACTCCATCCTTTTCCAAAACTCATTCACTCCTCAGTCGGCTGCTACAATTAAACTTTTGTCATTTATAGTTCCTCAGGGCAAAGCTGGAGTATATGAATTGTGATAAATTACTGAGGCACAGCTGTTCATCCCCACTCAGTTGAAATCACAGATTGTATGAGCATGTGACAAATAAAAATCTTGAATCTTGAGATGATTATTAGTTATTCCGATACAGCCTATAGTGTGGTACCACTGGTATTGGTGAGTACACCAGTAAGGCTACGATAAGATACCATCATTTATTAGCACATCCAGAAGTCAACTGGTTTCAGGTGTAAATTTGCTTACTTATAGTTTCTTCATCTTTAAGTCTGTGATACACATGACACAAACACACACAAACCAACCTGTAAAATCAGGGTCAATGTGATTCCAGCACTGCAGACGCCCATCATGGTAAAACCAAAGATCATGAGAGGCCTCCTGCCCAACCTCTCTATGGTGAAACACTAAAAGAGGAAACACAAAGCTTGTCAAACATCGAATGAATATACACAAAAACTTGTTGCCTAGTGTGCTTAAATGAAAAGGCAATGATATTTGTTTTTCTTTCTGATGGCTAGATAGAAAAAAAGTTCAGTCTTCATAAGCAGAAAGACTGGAAACAGAGGTGAACATCTAGCCTGTTCTGTGACCCCTGTGCTCTGAATCCACCAAATGTGATGGACTCAGTAAAATAGGGAAACGTATTTTAACCTTAATAGAGTTTATGCAGAAAGATAACTAACAACATCTTTATTTGACTATTTTTCATCAAGAAAAAGATTGTGTTCCAGGTCTCAGAAACTAAAAGTTCTCACTTTTACACCTTAGCTAGTGTATACATTTTTAATACATTTCCCTACATTTACTGGTACTTTAGAGGTTACCTGGATGGCTTTTGAAATCTGCTTCAAGTATCAATGCAAAGCTAGGCTTAGCATCCAAGTTGGTAACACAGAGCTTTACTTTCCTATTTTCCAATCCCACATCAATTTATTCATAAAGGCCTTCGAGGAGCAACTTGAATTTAAAACAGCATCAGCATCAGTTTAATATCGATCTCTCCTTTGAAAGTTTACCCCAACAAGTCCTGCGATGATCTCTATGATTCCCGTTCCTGCTGTGGTATACTGGATCTCTGCCTCTGGGATACCTGCATCCTCAAAGATGTCATTTGTGTAGAACCAGATCTGTGGTGGACAAAGGAAAAACTTAAAGATCAGTAAGTTTTAATCAATTTCCTCAGTCCAGCTGATCAGACTTCAGCGATCATTTAGACAAGCCAAACCTCTTCAGGTTTGCTTTGCAGTTCATGTTAAATCTGTCAATTTGATCACGAGTCATCAATTTTAATCAGATCCACCAATGGGCGCACTTTGATCAGGGTCAAGACAGAAAAAATACAGCATCACACTTAAAACAGAGATGTTGGTAATGACAATTGTGGTCGGCCATTCATCACATGAAAATTGACTGAACTAAGCAAATGACTGATACTACGGGAATTAAACATTTGCTTTCAATGTTATCTCCTGAATGTAATACTGACATTACAACCTGAACTTGTTTCTACTAACGATTCAGAAATAAAGTGTTGGTTCTTTGAAGCCGTTATTAAATGAAACCCACAAAATCTCATGTTCCTAATAGCCAGATATCTATTTACATTGTACTTACTTTAATTATACTACACTCAGAAGTGTTTTAAAACAGTTTCAATGCATCCATCTAAAATTTGTGTAGAATAATTAATTAAACCTGGAATGTTTGATGTGCAGATTAGTTTATTTGGTCATTTAGCAACTGATGCTGGCTGAGCAGAGCGACTAACCGCCAAGAATGAAAGAGCTCATACGAATCACTTGTACATTTTTAATCTGTCTGGCTGACATTGATGCTAAAAAAAAAAGTGGAAACATTTTACCGAACTAAAAATGAATATATGATTAGTTAAAGTGTATACGTGATTTTGGAGAGGTACGTGTTTATCTTACCAAAATGAATATAGCTGTTTGTTGTGAAAAAATCTTTTAGCAGCTTTCTAAAATCATTTAACCAGTTAAATATAATGTTTAAAAAGATGGTAAAAGGACTGAAAACACAGAAAATTGGGTTGATGTGGTGTTCAACTGAAAACAAACAAACCAACGGAACCAAAAGTTAAAGCTTTTGTAAAAACAGAAGCAATAGAACAAACTGGTTCACCAGGTCTGTTAACATGGGTCAACATGCAAAGCATCTCACAAGCAGGGCTAAGATTCCTAAGTAGGTCCACATACAACACCCTCAAGTCCCAGGAAAAGCCAGCGCTGCAGAGGAATAATAAAACCAGGCCATCAAAATGGAAGCGAACACATGAGGTGTATAAACAGGAGACAGCATACGGTGAAAGTTAGCGGACCAGGTAGATCAGCACACAAAGACAATTGGCCAGGACAAACACACACACACATACATACATAGCCCTGGTGAGCCAGAAACACGTGCACTTAGGACTTAATATCAACTAAAACATCTTCCACATGCCTCAACACAACTGCCATCATTATAACATCAGTGTACTCAAGAAGGTTGCTTAATAATCACGTTTTTCTTCATCAATATCAACCTGGTCACTGTCATCCCGCTTACATTTGTGTCACTATTCTCACCCTTAGCATTCTCATTCCAAACAATAACGTACACAATACCATCAACATTATTTTTCACTTTCACCTATTTTGAGCAAATATTACCAAATTCATCCCCATCATCATCATCTTGACTAGGTTACTATGAGGGCCATCATAACCATCATCAGCATCATGCTCAGAATCAAACTATCACCAATATTACTAAATCACCATCCCCACCACCATCTTCACAATCATTAAAATCAAACCCATCTTGATCAACAGAAACACTGTGATCATCCCTTCTGTAATAATCACCATTATGATAGTTGTTTTTCGCAAATATTATTATTAGGGTTAGGGTTACAGTTAGGTCACAATTATAAATATTACTTTTTAGTCAGCCACTCTGTTGTCAAGGTCATCTTTATAATTCTTGTCCCCATCATCATTTTCATCCTCCTCACCATCAGTGATCATCATTGATAATGTTTGTTGCTTCATTTAAAATTCATTTTATCATACTTTTATATATTACAGTATACATCATATATATATATTTTTTTTACCCCTGTTTCCATGACTATTATCACCACCATCAATATCAACACAACCCTCTTTATCCTCTGTATACCTCTTCTCTGAGTATCTGCATGTTTCAGCACTGCAGAGCTAATTAGCAGCTCAAAATACAGCCTGGAGATCGGCGTGCTAATGAGTTCAGCACCAGTGCTTACAGTGTGCACTTTCTGGCCCGGGCGCCCTGGTACTCATTGGAATAATTAATGAATCTTTGGGGCATAATTCAGAGGGGGGATTTGGCTAATCATATAGGCAGAAAAATGATTACATCAGCTTTTGGTTTTATTCAGAAGACCATAAAAAGCTCATGAAACAATGAAGAATCGTTTGGGCCTATTTCCATCTCAGTGTCTGTCTGATAAGCTAGATCAATCAGATGAGGGAAGAAACAAGGTTAGTGGTCACTGTGGAAAAAATTAGTGTAAAAGCGAATAGAGAACTATTAGAAATAAAGTGTTGGTTAGAGACATGAAATGTTTGTTAAGAGAATTCAATTTACCACAGCGATCAGATCTCCATGTAGTTTGGCTGAACCTGGAAAATGCCTAAGTATCAGTCCCACACCAGTTCATTACCTTTGATCACTACTTCTTCCATAATCCAACAAGAATTGAAAACATAATATCAATCTATTCCAGAAACATATACAGTATGTCGGATGGAAACAAAACAGTCAAGTCCCAGAGCCTATCAATCAAGTAAGGAGTAATTGGAAGAATATGTATTCTATTCTGTCAACAGGCAGAAGATCCTGGTACTGGTAGTGTAGTCAATACAAAAATCTTTGGAGGGTTTACCCCACTGATCTCACAAACAAACTCAGAGTCTTCTCTGTCATCGGAACAAGAGAACTGAGGGACAGGAGAAGAAAGACCTAGGCGAGCGACTGGGAACATTTAGGCTGGAGCAGCAATATTTAAAAAATAATGCCACAGCCGGAATGCAAAAAAAAAAAATGCAGTTTCTCAAGTGTCCACTTAAGGTTGCCTCATAGAGCCAGTGAAACTCCATGACAGCCCATATAAAACTGGCCATATTTACAGCTAAATTAAATGTTTGCAGCCAAGAAAAAAAATGGTTTCTTCCATCTGTGTCAGCTGCAGCTAGCTATACAGTAACAAGCCTGCAGCTGACACCGATTGGAGATGTTTTGGGATTTAAGGGGTGAAACATCTTGCAAAGGGTACCTCCCACTTGATCTGCAATTGGCTAATTGGCACTGGTGCAAGTGCAACATGATGCAATGACTTGCAAGTAGAAAGTCCCTGTGCATTCATCTATGATATCTGACTGACACTGTACTCAGGAGTTTATGCCAGTGTGTGTGGTTGTAACTATGGCCTAAAGACCAACTTTGGGCAGCCATCAGATGTTGGTAAGCATGTACATACAAAGAATATAGAGACAGAACAGATGGAATATTTTGGGCTTGTTTAAGGGAGGTCTAGAGAGAATGACGTATTTGAATTAATGCTTCATTTCTCTGAAAATAAATGCTTTATGATAAATTCCTCAGGCATTGGTAGCATTGATGTTGAACAAGCAGTTGAAACCTTCTCCCGTACACTTTTTTTTTTCCACAAACACAACCCCTAACAGCACATCATTTAACTGGACATAAAACGTTGATCTTTTACATACGCACCAGTGGCATCCACAATTTTAGTAAAGTAGGTGTGCAACAATGAGATCAGAGAACTGTTTTACAAAGGATACTTTGTAAAAGAGACCTCTGATCTGCCAGCAAAGACTCTGACATTTTCAAACTCAAAGAATGCTTTGTTGTCTCCACTTTCTGTAACTGCTTTATAAGAGTATTCAACCCATACTGTTTTACTGCTTCTGACCAAGCTGCACTGTATTCCTTCAGATAAATATAAATTAAAAGAAGATCCATATATCTGATACCAGTCACCAAAGCACATGGAAAACACCAAATCCATTCCATAGCCCTTTGAGTGCACCCCAAGCATTCTTTAGAGATGTTTTGGTGTGTTGTTGTATGTTAATGTATCTAGCTTATAAAGGCCCTTAACAATGTTCTTATTGAAAACAAATTTCAAAGATGTTTCTATGAAAAGCAGAATTTCCTTTTTTTCTCACGTGGCCCGATCACAAGAGGACAGCTCTGACTGCATTCAGAATGGATCCTCGATGGATAAAGCCACATTTGTTAAGCAGTTTGTACAAAAAGTGTCCAGGGCCACATTAAAGGCCACTCAGTCTATAAAAGCAGGGCAACAATCCTGCCGAGGGAAAGATGACTTGCCTTACTTTCAGTCATAGAATAACAATAGGCTTATTGATCAAGACAGTTTAAAATTAAATCAATACATTCACTTCTTCCCTTCTTTCAGCTGTTAATCTGTATCATATTTTTCATCCACTGACGTTTTTTACGATGAAACTCACTGATTATTCAGTCATAATTGGACACTGAATATGTAAATGGAGACGCATTCCGATGCCAAGACATACTAAGAGCAGTCCATCTCTTATCGTTTTATGGTCTTTCTTAAAATACATGTTAATGCCTGATGTAATCAGGGCTCCTGATTGTTACACAATTATTAAGTGATTATCACTATTCAGTGATTAAGTTATCACAACAGTCACACATTCAAGTCTTTTAAAAACCAGTTAACAGCATGTCACTTTATCAGGATAAAGACCACTTATTAAGGACTTGAATCTGGTAACAGCTAGTTGATGACCGAGTGGTAGATTCAAATGCAAAAAATGAACTTAATATTTCTTTCTGGAGTTAACTTTAGTCAAGAGATCAAGTGAGGGCAGGGGGTAAAAGAAGGTGTACGCTGCACATGCATCAGGTGAACAGAATGTGTCAAACTATTTGAGGCTGCAAACGTTTACCAAACTTTTTTGTCTTGGAGCTGATACCATATTCTATGTATGACATCCATGCTTTATATTTACATGGACATTTAAATAGGAAGGGGGGTTTCATCCCTGGATAAGGATCTTGAGATGTGGTGAAATTTGAAAATGTTAGGACTCCATGATTCCATCAAAAAATCAACAACAGCCCTTTGTTTTAATGTATACATTACTTAGTTTGAAAGAGTCCTTACAGCATCAATGCCAGACAGCTGCATGCCGATGTTAATGACCACCACGCAGAGCACCTGCTTCCGGACTCGGTCATCCAGCAACAGTTTCCATACTGACAGCGTCTCAACTGATGAAAGGGAGCGCTGCTCCTCCTGCATCTCCTCAATCTCAGCCTGGATGTTGCACTTGGCTCTGTAGTACTTCAGAGCTGAAAAACAGAGAACAGGATGCTACAGGGTTACAATACAACATAGAAAGATACTAAAATAAAGTTATTCAAGCTACACAGTTGTATTCTTTATGCTGATCCTCTGCCACATAATTTATGCTTTGGTATCGTTTATTCTTGCTAAAATAAAGACGAACAGCTGCAGCTCTTATTTAGTTGAAATATGATTTTTTTTTTTAAAGATTTATTTTTGGGCTTTTTGTGCCTTTAATGTAGAGATAGGACAGTAGATAGAGTCTGAAATCAGGGAGACAGAGAGTGGGGAATGACATGCGGGAAGGGAGCCACAGGCAGGATTCAAACCTGGGCCACCTGCTTGGAAGACTATGACCTCCATACATGGGGTGCACACTAACCACTGCGCCACCAGCGCCCTGTAGTTGCAATATGATCTTTGATGGTAGAAATAATTAAAAACTGCCATAGTGAGTAATAAGGAATACATTCAAATGTATTACTGCTGTCTACAAACCAGAAGTCATTTCTCCATAAGGTTGGATAATACTCCAATATAATTTGTTTTCTTTCTCAAAATGTTAAATGCAGTGTTCTTCCTGTGCAGTTTCCATTGTTGATGGGCGGCAGAGCAACAACACTGACCTGTGATAGTGGCATGGACGTTGTGCTTCTCAATCAGCAGGTACCTGGGGCTCTCTGGGAACCATGGCAACGCCATCAACTGGATGAAGGTGGGTATCACCACTACTGAAAGAAAGAAGGGCCAGTGCTCCTCCTGCAACAATGAAAACAACACAACTTACTTAAATCCATCATATTGAGATGGGCAGCAGTGACGGTGTATTGGCTAGAGTATCAGCATTAGAAATATAAATGGGATGATACTAATGTTGATAATGGAGATAGCTGATGAAATATCAAAATTACAGGTAAAATATACATTGATTGTATTGTATGTCTGTAGCAATTTATCTGAATAAAAAAATAATAATAATGAACGTTGTCAACTTCAGGACTTCTTGGTTAAGGCTCAGGTACTTGAACTTTAATCAGTTAAAAGTCTAACAAAAAGATTTGTTAAGCGTTTTAACTTTTTTTACAATGAGAACATTAGTTACAAAACTACAGGAAAACTTAATACCATGGGGAAAGTCTGACGTTTTGAGACAGATTTAGCATTTAGTAAAACTCTTTATCAATTATAAGTACCCAGTTTAGAGGGTTCAAAACCTTTGCATTTGAGGTTTAACAATGACAAAAGGAAACAGTGTTCATTACCTTTCCTAGAAGCTCATGTAGGCCAAGAATTTGGGCGAGGAAGACTCCGGTGCCAATAAAGATACTTGGCACAAGACCCAGGAAACCTCGTAGGTTCTTAGGTGCTATCTCACCCAGGTACATTGGTACAACACTAAGAGAGATGCCTGAAGTGAAAAAAAGAGGAAGACCTATAAAACAATGCACTACTTTGTTAAAATGCCCAATTACTATTATTCAACACAAGGAAAAATATGGGGAATCTGCACAAACAGAGCAGATATAAAGACCCTAAAAGTCCAAAAGTATTTGGACACTGTAAGAATACAAGAACATTTTTACAGGTCACAGATGAAAGAAGTGCTGAAGATGAATGTTTTCAAATAAGGTTTCTAATTGAAAACTTTGAAGAGTAACATGTAAACAGTCCAAGAGCCTAATGGTGACAAGAGCTCTACCAACTCATCTCAGCCTCAGAGATTGATTGCTTATAATTTTGATAATCAATAAACCATCAAAGTCATGCATAAAAATAATGCCAAATATTTGCTGGTTTCATCTTCTTGATTGTGAGAATTTGCTGTATGCTTTTGCAATATTTGTTAGGGTGACTGTTTGACTGAACAATGTCTTTGGAAGACATGGAATTTAGTCTATCATTATTTATTATAAGAAATCAATCAACAAAACAATTATATGGCAATAAATACAGTATTTTAACTAGTTTAAGATTGCACTGAGTGTTCTGCTGAGTGCTGTCCCAGCCTAGCTAACTTCTCTTTCTTGTGACCCTTCATTCACCTCTTTCCTTTTCTCTTGGCAACACTTTAGATGGCTGGCATAGATACTTTTCAGCATCTGACACCAGTAGCACACACAGAACACCTTACAGATTAAGATTAAGATTAAGATTAAGATTAACTTTTATTGATTCCCGCAAGGGGAAATTTCAGTTTTTACACAGATAAGCCATTAGACCATTTTCAAGGTTTAGGCTTTCTTGCAAGAGTTGAACCTGGCAGGATTACAGGATTTTGCTCCCAATCCAGAAAAATGAGTGATATCTGGTGAGATGGTCTTGCTCAGAGAAGATGTCCCAGTTTATCGCAAAGGTAGATTGATCTGGGTCAGGGATCTGTGCAGGCCAGTTAAGTTCTTACAAGGCATACAAGGAGCAGCATTACTTTATTGAACTGGCTCTGTGCACAACAATGTTACATTTTCAAAAAAAGGAAAACACCTTAACTTAATTTGAATAGTAGTGTGCACAAACATTTGGCTGTACAGTGTACAAGCCAAAATGTGTTTGTTATTGGGTCCATTTGTTTTAAAGCTCTGTGTTTATGTGTGAGTGACTATACCTGAGTGAATTCCTGTGATAAAACGGCCAACGATGACCATCTCAGGTGAACCACATATCCTGCTGAAGCCCATGAGTGATCCACCAATAAACACCAGGAATGTTGTGTTTACAATTGTACCTTTCCTGAAAGTACACACATGCAGAAGGCAGACATTTAGAGAAAGAAATACAGAAACTGCATTGTTTTCAATCTCTATTCTATTCAGTGCAGTGCAGTGCAGTTCATTTATACTATTTAAAATAGTTAATTTATGAAAAGGTGATGTTCAGGCCCTGGCAGCTTAACTTGAACACCAGCCTCTGGGGAATGAGTGTGTTTAATACTTATCCACAAACTATAAACTATAATCTCACACAGGTGTTCCTGTCATGAATATACATAAAATCACATGACCCAAAGGTCAATGAAACAGCAAGGCCAACAGCAGTATATGGACGTGATATACACACACAGTCATGACGATAGACCTGTGTGCCTGTATAAGTCCTTCTAAGCCATAAAACGCCAACACAACTCACAAGGGTGGTCATGAGCTGTGATTAGCCATAAAACACCAGTGTGTGAAAAATTTGTTCAGCCTGTATAGAGGATTATAAATTGCAAGCTTTTCATTTGCATTTAATCAACACTGAAGTTCAATGAAATGTTGGAGCATAAGAGCTCTCAGCTGATTTGAACTGAAGGTAAAAGAACTTTTCGCTGCACTTTGAGGACTAGTATACTTTTGGAGGGCAATGGGGACAAAAGGATGAAAGTGTACTCTGAAGGACAACATATTACCAAAGGACGGGTTGGGGGGAGTCATGATTGATAGAATGCCCTGATCTAGTGCGTTTTGTGCCAGTGTTAAGTGTGTGCGGTGTGTTGTGTGCGCGTGTGTCTATGCGTGTCTACAGTATTCTCCCAGTCTTGTGCTTCTCAACATAATTCACTTTGGAAATTAAATCCAACATAAACTGGACCCATTTTTTTTGTGAATTTGTGATGAATAATGCGAGTATCTTTATGGCCCTTGTAGTAGCAATGTGTGTTAAGGTGTTGATGTCATGGGCAGCACCAGATGCTGCTGAGTGTCTCTCAGGCTGGCACTGCCAACTGGCCACCATCCACTCTTGTGGTTAGATGGTCCTGAAGGGTTTTAAGGGTGTCAGGACAGTGCAGGGTCAACTTTCAAATACATCTGTGAGGGCTGCTGAGGACACTGTTTACCTCTTTGTTGTCAAACTGTACAGTACATATTTCACAAAAAACACATTATATTGACATTGCAGGCATAATCTATTGACAGCAACAATGACTGCTGTATAACTGGTCTAAAATCTTGAATGACCAGTCTGTGAAAACAAATGTCTTACCTGCCAAAGCGGCTGACAAGCATACCCACGATGACGGAGCCCAGCATACCTCCAATGGCAAAGACAGACACAGTAAGAGAGTACATGACGGTAAGGGTCTCTTCAGTGAGTCCTGTTCCATTTCGATTCAGCACTGTCTGGTTGTAGAAGTCCTTTATGTACTAAAAAAGGAAGACACAGTGTAAACGGGATGTGGGATGTAAAAGACATTATGTGAGGTGGCACAGGCATGGTAAAACAAAACTTTATACTTCAATAAGACAAAGCAAAGTAGTCCAAATGCCCTGTAGTGTTATGTTAAAGGATGAATTTGTGACTTTCAAAAGTAGATTTTCAGACGTAAATAAATGCTCTCTTCAGACACACCTCCTTCATCCCTCTGCTACCCCCTCCCCTCTTGTCTCTTCACTATCCCAGCTCCTCTCATGCTCTTTCTCTTTCAGATTTATGTGAGGCAGTGAGAGCAGCAGGCGACTGCTAAACATCAGGAAACAAGAGTCTGCGATCAATTTCAAGTAATGATATGCATCTCAGAGTTGTTATTTGGTGGTATTTTTAGACCAATGATAATATTTTCTTTGGTTTGGTAAGTATGTTAGTAATCCATCAGTTGAACCAACAGAGTCCCTTTGTGGGCGGGGCCTTGTCTCTTTCCCGACGTGGTGACAAGGCTAACAGTTGGAAGGGAGGGGGTCATTTGAAAAAAAGAAAAGCATGTATGAAACATGTTTGAGCCTCTGAGCCAAACATAAACAAGCAGGAGGAAGCTTTGTCCTGTCCACACAAAATGAAAACAACTCCAGAAGGAATTCCACTACACTCACATTTTAAGAAGTAATTACTCCACAATATATTAACACATTTGACTTTTGCTATATTAATATTCAGAATATTTAATATGTATAGTCATGTCATACTATTTTTGTTACTTTCTGAAATGGTGAAAGCAGATAATCTAGAGACTGGCCAGTTGTGCCAAGGTTTAAAAATCTACATGGCTTCAGGAGCTTTGTTATAGTTATATGACCTATGACAAATCAAAGACCACCAGTTTAAAGTTAACCAACGGCTATGCTCTGAGCTGCGTTGACTGTTAACAGTACTCCTTCAGCTATTTATTTTGACAGTAGCATCCAAAACATAACTCGTGAGTTTTACATTTACTGGAAATGGAAATCATGCATGAACTTAAGTTTTAAATCTGTTGGAGACAGTTATTGAGTTATTGAGTTACATTAGCCTATTATTTAATTTAGGTGGAGTTAAATTCCAGAATCATCTATATGGCACTGAAAATAGAACTTATGAGATTGCATTAAATTTTCAAATTGGAACCTCGAGAGACAAAGAAGAAGTGGACCTCAAATTGAACCCTTTGACCTACAAGTTAAGAGTGGTTGACCAGCTAATGGAAAAGTGATACATCTAATTAAAATGTCAAATGGAACCTATTGAAGGCCAATCTGTGATACTGTAATGCTGGCTTATCATTATTGTTTATTTTGATAGAGACCGTGTACAGCTACTTAGCAGTACCAGAGTTAGCTATGAGCTAATACATCTGTATTTTCTGGGCAGGGGAGATATACATTTTTACTTATCTGAATGTTTTCAAAGTTTATTCCAGCTTTTTTGTAGATTATTTTATAATTATTGAAGGTTATAGATATGTTTTGTCCAGAAAAGTAGTTGGGCAATAACAATACTGACAGATTGTCTTTTATGCACACCTCCAAAACAAGATGATTCCTCTCAACAAACCATCAATACATGTTGCATGTGGGATTTCAAATATAATATTTTATATTAAAGGCCTACTATGCAACTTTCAAAGCACATTGTCAGACCAAAACAAATTCTATCTTTGGACACAACTCCCTTCAGCCCTCAGCTCCCCCCTCCCCACCTGCTGCACCACCAAGTGCCTGTGAGACGGAGAGCGGCAGACAAGTGCTGATAAACATCTGAAGACAAGATTCTGTAATCAACTCTGAGTAATGATATGCATCGCAAAGTCGATTAGATGTTATATGATTGTCCTTTTAGCAAAGAAATTCTTTGTTTTGTTTTGGAAAGTCTGTTGGTTCTCCTTTAGTTGTACTCATGCGACAACAGTCTGTCATCATGCTTCTAGAAGCAGCATCGCTGACTGGGCGGGGCCGCCTCTCTTCACCCTAAATGAAATCTAGTTGTGTTACTCTGATATTCATAATGCTTTAGCCTTGACTGTGGATTTTCATATTTGATTGTGCACTTTATCAGCATATCAGCAATAGACTTTTCTACATGATAAAGTAGATACATGCTTTTTTCTCGGCCAACAGCAGCTTGACATAGAGAAGAAACATGTGATGCAAACAGTTTGCAGATTAGTTATTTTCTGTCCTTATGAAGAAACATCACAGGGTTTTCAATGAGCCAGCCAGGCTAATCTTTTGAGAAACACTATCAGCTGGGATCAAGTTCATGTGCAAGTTCAAACTTCGAACATAGCTTATCAATAATTCATGATTTACACAATACTGAAATAAAATCAGATTAACCATTGACATAAGTTACCAAATACCTCTAAGAAAGAGCTAAATATATAGGTTACAGATGTCCCTGCCCTAGATGTAAATCATACAATGTGAGAATTATACTGTTAAAACAGTTGTTCTGGTACAACATTACCGTTTTTAACTTGCACACCAATTTATCGAATACTCAATTAATTCATGTAAAATGTAATATCAATCTAGCTCATGATGATACACATCAATGCTGAGTTGCTTGTGCCAGCCAGACAGCTAATGCGCACTTTAGTCCCTTACTTAGTAGAGGGCTTACACATGGCTGGGGCAACCTTTAACAATTTCAATGTTGGATTTGGTGGTTTTGGCTACTTTGCTTTTTATGGTAATCCCCACAATATTTCATCAAACATTATGCGTTTCTATTTTGATTGTGAATTTTTTTGTAAATAAACGTCATGCTGTTTAAGATACATTCTTCTAAATGATTTAGAGTTGACCCTCAATGTTAAAATATATCAACACCTATGGGTCCTCGTTCTTATATGTAACAGTTTTGGGAGCCTTCACACAAAAAAGTTTGACAACCACAAGAGAGCAAATTGTCCTGCTAAAAGAGGAAACCTTGTCTCTTGTGTCATGGGGCAAAGGTATACTGGTTTCATGAGACCATACCAATTCACTCCTTTTATCTCTTTTCCTTTCTTCCCTCTGACATTTTCAGCTTCCTGTCTAATCTAATCCCCATGTCTTTTTTTTTCTTTTTACCTCAGCCTCTTAATCAGTTTAGCATGTGATGGCACGAGTTGTTGGACCATGATCAAATCCCCTAACTGCAGTAGCAAGCCTGGCAGACAAATGCAGACGACAAAGATGTGAGGAAGGCTCTTTCAACCCACACTCAAACATCATCAGGTGTATCTCAGCTGCCAGAAAAACTCTTTCAATACTGATGTTGTTGATTTTAAAATGCAGACCATTCAATGATGGCTTTAGATAAAACATTATCCACCCTGGCTTTCTTAGTTCGTTTCCAAGCTTTACTTGAAGCAGTTTATCGGCTAACACTAGCTAAATCTACGTTTCAACATTCTTAAGAGCTAATGTGAAACCTGAAAATACAGATTATGTTCCAGAAATAAGAAACCTCATTCAATCACACTGACAGTTTGTACCAACATAAACTGACAAAAAGTTAGCCTTGAAATTTCACCTCTCTAAAATACACCATGTGATCGACTCCATACATTTAAATATAAGATTATGATAGAAACCAAACACCTATGATTCATTCTATTTATATTTTCTTAGCAGATATAAAAATGCCATAAGAACTTATTTAGTAAGACTCCTTTAAAGATAACAAATGGACTCTTAAGATAATTCACTTATTACATAATCAGTAGGGACACATGCTACCAAAAAACCCTGTATGGAATGTAGGGAATCTTAGACCTTAATGGCCCCCTTGGGATGTACCCCCCCTGGGAACTTAATAATCCAACACTGGGTCACAATGGATGTGTATGTGTGAGTGTGTGTGTCTTACTGCAGAGGGGGAGTTGACCACAGCCAAGTTGTAGCCATAAAGCATGGAGCTCCCAAAGGATGAAAGGAACGCTACCGCCAACAAAGAGCCGGTCAGTTGCTGCAGAGAGATGGAGAGATGTGTTAAAAGAGCAGATGATACAACTTTCTTCCAGAGAAAGACTCTTAGTTTTTTCAACACAGATGGTGACGTTATGCTTTATTCTTTTATTTAAAAAACATGATAACATTGCAGATGTGCCTTTTAATGTATGTCTTCACCCTTGTCTGTGCCACACATAGTTCCCTATCTCTGCTTTGTACATACAAAATCCAATCTAGGACAATATGTATATCAACTGTTCTCAGTAAACAGTTCTATATGTGCTGTTATTTAGGAGACAAACCCAGGTATCACAACCTACAAAGCAGTTTCATAAAAATTACATAAAACAATAAATAGTTTTGGATACAAGGTTATTTATGCAGGAGCATCCCTAATAAGCCGAGAAGCTACAGCCACAAAGCGATGGGAGAAGTTTTTTACAGAAAACATTTTCCAGAACCAATAATTTTAGCAGTAAGTAATTTAAGTAAAGCACCGCCGTCTCTCACCACCCTGTGTGAAGTCCTGTAAAACTAGGTAAGAAGAGTCCAAAAGTAATAAAAGAAATGTAGACACATTTATTGAAAGAAATCAATAAAGAAAATTAAATCTGGGAACAAGAATTAGTTAAATCTCCAAAGAGAAACAGACAGTTTATTTTCAACTAAATGACTAAAATTAAAGGTGCAAACCGTCACAAATATTCAGTTCTTGAATATAACTAATGTTTTTGTAGCCTATTAAAAACAACTATTTAAGTGAGGGATTACAAAGTTTTAAAAACGTCAACCAAACCATTCTGAGTGACATCATAGGAGAATGATTACGCCAATGCTGTTTGATATGGTACAAAACTTTGAGAAGTACAAAACTCACACAAACTCCAGACAGTGCTATGATAGAAAATAACACATACAGTCACAAGTAGCCTATTTCTAATAGGAAGGATGTGCATACAACACAGTATTTAACATGATTTAACATTTTTATACCTTATCTGGCATCACAAAGCTCATAGGCTTATCCTAGTACACAACAAGGCTTTACCGTGGGCGGCTGTGGCTCAGTTGGTAGATTCATCGCCTCTCGATCGAAAGGTTCGATCCCCAGCAACATGTCTGATGTGTCCTTGGGCAAGACACCTAACCCTGCATTGCTCCCGCTGCTACTGTAGCAGTGTATCAATGGATTAGTGTTGTACCTACTCTATGATGTACATCGCTTTGGATAAAAGCGTCTGTTAAGTGAATTATCAAACAGAACATTTCAATTCACCACGTGTGAAGAATGAACATGTAGAGCCTACTTTAAGTAGGCAAAGTTGCACGTAATGAAAATAAATGGGCCGTATTGAAGGTGGAGTAAACAATTAAAAAAGAGTATATTAAACAATAACTCGGCCTAATATGTAAATGACAGCATTTCATTTGGCATCATCAATTAAAACGAATTGTACCCCCGGTGCCGAACGAATGCTGGCACAGCACAACAGCTGCTCGACAATGTAACACTGGAATCAGGCATATAGGCTATATGGGTCTTCAAAACGTTTCCCTTACCCCCAATTCACACATACTCCGTGCGCGCCCCCGTCATGCTCCGTAGGACGGCTCGCGCCCATTCACACTGGACCCGTTTGTGGGACGTCAGCGCAGACACATCACAGGAGAACTACAAGATCCCGCGGGAATAAAGAGAAAAACATGCAAACGACATGTTGCTTTGTCTTTCTGAGTATGCATTGTTGTTAATTCGGTTCCTGTTTTGACGTCATGTTGATAAAGTGCATGAAGAAAACAGAATCACACGTGCGGGAGTGTGTTTTCACTGATTGTAGGTCAACAACACTGACCGCATGGCTACAGACACATCAACCACAAAGCCGTTTGGAGTTCGGAAAACCTTGCGATAGGCCTACCTTGTTTCAAATTAGTCTAATTATTTTAGTTGTGTTGAGATAGGCTACCTGTAGCGGTGGTATTTCAGGTGGTTCCGCTTCAGCACGCGCGTCGGGGTTTTCATTGGCCACAGCTCGTCCAATGGCTAAGGGCTCACTAAGCGGAAGCGGCTTTTCCGAAAGAGTAGCCATAGAACCACAGCAATCAAACCGACGGTATAGGCCTTATAATTTTAATCTAATGGAGAGTCGCTTAACACCCGTCTTACTCAGTCCTCCTCTAGCCTATTTGTTACTCAGTAACTCCCTATGTTACTAAGTAACATATTACTTTTCAGTTGCACCTGTCACGCAGTAGCCAGCAACTATAAATATCCAGACACGCTGGTTGCCATGCATCTTCACAATTATCCACCAACTGGTTTCCCAACATGTATGGAAGAAAGAGCAGGATTTAATCATTGAGCATATGTAGAGAGAATTGCAGTGAGTTAAAAGCTGTGACTCTATTTCTTGCAGAGAATGTCCAGTAATAACATAAACCAGATAGCCTAATGATAAACTCGATCTTTATTAGACCAAACAAAGACACAGTCCTGCTCCTCAGCATACATTTTTTATTTTAAAGCTAACTTTGCCAATCATAAGTCTGTCTGTTCCCAAATACGGTTTGCTGCAGAATGTTAAAGAGATAGGCTACTTAATGCTCATAATTTAATTGCAAATTTCCCAACATGGGAGACTGTGAGAGCATTGAGGCCGAGCACCAAAGTTGTCAAATGTGGTTCTCAACATCAGTTGTTGGTACTATTCCTATTTTTTTTTTTATTTATCTAACGTTATTGCACATGTCAAATATATTTTCAGGTTGGGTCACTCAGGTGTTCACGAGAAAAGCTAGAAAAGTAGCTTTGTAAAAGATGAAATTTTTGACAGAGAGTTTCAGAGGTCTTTTTCACAATCGTTTTGTGTTTTGCAAGATTTTCTGTCCCAGAAAGCTATTAAGATTGCTAAATGTAGCCCTCTGATGTCAAAATCAGAAAGTGGATTTAAAATGCAACAACAAGGCTACTTTTTGTAGCACAAAGAGCTCTTAGATTTATATTATGAGCTCTCTAATGGAAAATCTCAGTGTTCCTTTCCAGCTGATTAATGTATTTCCACCTTTTAGGAGAGAATATGAGTTGTTTTAAACATAGAGGTAGTTTAAAAAAAGGAATTGAACATTTAAATGTGCAAGTCTGAATGTTCTTGTTGGCATTTTTCACATTCTTCACTGCAACCTAACCAAAGTTCATGGCAGGCTGCCAACTCTGCAGGAGCTAAAAGCAGAGACATAAAAAGGTTGAAAATCACAGTTTTCTAGTATCTGCTAGAGAAATAAATTCAATTTCCACTCAAAATGCCAAAATATAAACTGTGCCTGAACACATTTTGTGAATAAGATGATCTAGAGCACAGTAAATCTGATTTATGAAGTATGCACAAGAAATCGAGGTGACTTCAAGTTAATTATTAAGTTGAAGGATGGAAGGTATTCTATAGTACGTTATAAAAACATAGATATCAAACTGAACCCTGGTCTTGACCAATTGAAGACACTGATAATTGCTAACAGGGAGGGCTCAGACCTACAACCAAATCATAGTCACACCAAACAGCCCAGACCATCCACTACACTCTGCTACTGCAAATTGTTCTTCCTGTCATCCACTATAAGGACCAGCTACTGCCTAAACTTACAACTGTTTGCTGTGGTTGCGTAACAAGCTCCCTGATGATATATAGACATCAGAAACCCTACAAATCTTTTGCTGCAGACCGAAAACTCACCAGTCAAGAATTCTCTATGTCCAATAAAAACAGATAGACATCTTATTGAGGTCCTCATGATGTAGTTCATAATCTTGGATGATATACAGTAGATATCCTTTTGTGATTCAAATACATTTCAGCGTTATGTGAATGCATTTACTGTAAGTCACTTTGGTTTAAAACATCAGCCATCAGTTTTAAAATGCCGGCTGAAAACAGGTTGACCCTTATGAGGGATATGTTTATAATCTCATTATTATTAGCATGCTAGCATTGATATTTGCAATCAACACAAAGTAAAGGACACCTAAGGCCGTTGAATGATTTTTACACGTTTTTTAATCCTAAACTAAAGTATTAAATAGCCTAACCAAAACTTTGACCTGCGGACAGTGTGAACCAAAAACCTGTTTAAAACAAGCTTTGGCAAAACCTCTTTTGGGACCATGAAAACATGTAATTTCAATGCCATTCATTCAGTAGCTGTTGAGATATTTTAATCAAACACACAAAAGTCAGCCTCATGATGTCACTGCAGGAAGTGTGAGGAAACATCAAAGTCAGTGTGATAAATCATCTGCAAACCATGTGCAGCTGTTCAACATCTCCTGGAAATTCACGTAAAGGTTATCAAGATGCTTAATTCCGGAACAAATGATTGAACCAACCAACACACGGACATTGCCATTCATATTGGCATGCCACCAGCATGGCTAAATGTGGAACTGAAAAGCGGTCTCTGTTTTAGAAGTCACATGATTTTTTTTCCATCCATCCAGACCTCCTCCCTCAGAGGCTACTTTACGTCTGCTTGCTCTTTACAGATAACCATTCAAATTCAATCGCTCAAAGGTCTTTGTCATTTCTAACAGAGAGATATGTCCTGCTCTGGCAGATAAAACCAACAACAGATGCTGCCATTTTCTGAAAAAGACACAGTTGGGAGAATTTGCTTCTGGAATGTGGACTGAATACATCTATGTTAGTTATTCTGATGTAGGCTATATAAATATTGATAAAACATCTACAAAAGACCTATTGACTGTCATACTGCCATTCTATACAGTATTTAGTCAATCATCATGCTTCCTATAGGCCAATACTTTAACTTATTTGCTCTTGCATCTTTAGTCTTCAATCATTTCTGCTTAAAGGTTGTAACCATGTGGATCTTCACCATGCTACTTACTGTTAAACATTAACTACCAGTCTATCACTAAACAAAGTCCTGCATGCATTCTCATGAATCAGTGTACAGTCCAGCACTACATAAACTTGACTTTGCATGATTAGTCAGATAAAAGATATTGTATATTCTGTCAGAAGACCACAAAAAACACACGCATGTTATTTAACAAATCAATAGCATGTTGAATACTGCTTGAATGAATGCAACCTTACAGAGAAGGAGTTATATTTCACACAGGTCTATTATTAGCCATATACTAATGTATGGCTGATATCACTTCTCTCATTGTTATGGCTAACAAATCATTACTTAAACTTACTGCATTACTTACCATATTGTCTGTAATCTATAATCTAACATTAAGTCTAAAGGCATACAAGAGTTGTTATGATATTCAAAAGAAGCCGACATTACATTCCTGTAGCCTTTAAGGTTTTTAAAAGCATGGTTGAAAATGAAAATGCTGTGTGTTGGTTTGTAACAATGACACACACAGGAAGAATGATGTACAGCAACCTGAACATGATGCACCTCAAACTAATTATCAAACCTCTGAGCTCCCTGGTTTGGATTTTTAATGTAAATCAACTATTTAATTTACCAGTATAGAATGATTCTTTAACTCTAAACTGATTTAATTAAGATATACACTGTTTTTGATGTGAATTCAAAGAATGACACAATAAACAGAACAGTTGATAAAATATTGTAAATGTATAAAACGTTTTTAAAATAAACCAGGTCAGATCATTTGTTGATTTTCATTTGTCATTCCTTTAATTGGTTATTCTTAAATGACCAATAACATTGTCTGACTTTCAAATCTATAATTTGAAAATGTCTCCAATTTTAGGTCAAACCCAAATATCCGTTTAATGACCAACTTTAAAAATGTCACAAGATCTTATTCAGTGCAGCTCCTGATCTACTTATGAGTACAGGACTACAAGTTTGAAAGTTGGTAGTAAATGCTATTAGGTGCTTGGAATCCATGTCTAGAGCAATAGGGGATCAGACATCTGACGGTTCTTGCTCTGGATCTAACTTTGTTTGTACAGCCGGTCTGAACTTACCGATGTGACTCTCCTGGACGATGGAATTAAAACCTCCTCAGCCATTTAAGAAATCTGTAACCTGGTCAAAAACAGCAGAACGCAGAAGGGGTTCTCTCTAAACTGCATAGGATGGCATGGCTGTAGTAGCAGGCGTAGTCACACAGGGTCCAGGGAATGGCAAGTTGCAGTAGTCAAGTCAGCTCATGTGCAGCGTGTCAGGCCTCTTGTCCAGCAAGCAGCAGTCCACAAGCTCCTGATAACAAGCCCACACTGTGTCATCACATGACAGAGGGCAGCGTGACGGAGTGAGAGAAAAGCCTGCTGGAAGCAATTAACTCTAAGTGAATTTCCAAAGAAGGGGATGGAGGTGGGAGTTAACCAGAGGAGAGGAGGAAACCAGAGGGAGGAGGAAACTAGAGGGAGGAGAGGAGAGGAGAGGAGAGGAGAGGAGAGCAGAGCAGAGCAGAGCAGAGGAGAGGAGAGAGGAGAGAGGAGAGAGGAGAGGAGAGAGGAGAGAGGAGAGAGGAGAGAGGAGAGAGGAGAGAGGAGAGAGGAGAGGGGAGAGAGGAGAGGAGAGGAGAGGAGACGAGAGGAGTAGAGGAGAGGAGAGGAGAGGAGAGGGGAGAAGAGAGGAATACCATAGGGAGGAAAGAAGAGGAGAGGAACAAGAGGAGTAAACCAGAGGAGAGAAGTGAACAGCAGAAAAAGCAAAGAGAAGAGATGAGAAGGGAAAAAAGATAAAATAGACAATGACAAATATGAAGATAAAGGTATAAAGGAGAGGGGGAAAGAGAAACAGAGCAGTAGACAAGATTACTTAAACAAGGAGAGGAGTTGAAGAAAAAACAAGACAAGGCAAGTTAATTGTAAGATGAGAAAATAAAATAAAGGTGCAAATCAAGGAGGAGAAGAAGGATTGAGGAAGAGAGAGGGGAATACAAATTAAGGAAAGTAAAAGACATAATAGGAAATGAAAAGATGAATAATTGAAGAAAGGAGAGGTGAGAAATTTGGATGTCATGCAAAAGTAAAACAGGGCATGCAATAAGGGAAACTGAGTTATTATGTGGAAAGAAGATTAGAACAGAAGAGATCAGGGGTAACTGAGACAATCATGTAAAACACAAATGAAAGGAAACCAATAGTGCCAGGAAAAACATCAAACATTTTGAAATGCTACCAAAGAGATAGGTAACAAAGACATACTATTTGAT